TAAAAAAAATAGCCCAACCACCAAGACACATGGGACAGTAAGACGCGGTCAAATGAAAAACACATCAGTATCCCAAACATCATTATAAGTGACAAGTGTGCTTGATAAACATTGAAAATCAGAACAAAAGCAATAATGCCATTATCATGAGTATAAGTGTGGATATGACACCAATCAAATATAGTCAATTATTTATACGTTGCAAATGTGTCTATTTCTTTGTCATCAAAATGGAGGTAACGCATGATCTCTCTGAAGCAATCCCGTGACATGGTTTCTCCAAAGAAAAGTATCCTATACATGTCTGACCAGAAGCTCTCCATATACACGCTCTTTCCACCGAATGCTCCACGGACATACAGGATTGAAATGAACACTTCCAGCTCAACAGCTGACAGATCCCAGGCAGTGTCTCCTTGCTCTGTGTTCATCTTACCCACAGTACAATCCCTGAATGATGTGGTGTTTCTGTGTCATATAAACAACGGAAGCTGGTGAGTGCATTGCTGATGTCGTTTTTTGCTTGAGACGTAGGGCCTGCTATCTCAGTGATGACATTTTGTGCCGATAATCAGCCCGTAGCATTGTCACCGGCTCGTTCTATTTAAATGGTGCCGTCTCTTCCTCTCTCCTGTCTCACTGTATCATTTGGTGGTGGCGTGGCCACCTGCTCAGTGAGCACCGTTCTGGCTTTTTTGTGCTTAGGCCTCGGATGTGTAGGTTATTCAGTCTGAGGCTCAGAATCAGAAGAATAATCAGAGATGTCATGATTCATTTCTTCTCCACCAACTTAGTCGTTTTCATTCAGATCTTGTAGCAGCGCTAACTTAGCATGTGCATCCATTCATCTTGGTCTTCTTGCCATTGGAAATTACGCACGCTCTGTGTACTCCAAGTAGGCCAGAGTAGACTGATAAGACTGCTAGGATTGGGTGGACTGATATAGGGTACATTCCATTTATTATTAGAATAGATCAATACAATAGAATGACCCGCCCTGTTCTTCATTCACAATTGGTGATTACATAATTATGCATCGTTCGCCTCCCCTCGTTCATCAACTCCCCCTTTCCCCCCCTTCTGTCAACGACAGTGTGTGATATAGACTTATTTAGGAAAAGACAAGGATGGAGGGGGGCATGACTTTAAAAATGGCAGAGTAATACATTTATTTTATTCCAAAGACGTCAAAATGACTGCTTTAGAGGTTCTAGTGTTTACACTCATCCTATCACATTTTTATGTAATGCTTATTCTCACTCTTTCTGCTTTGCTTTTCTTCTTTTGAAACTATGACATCATCACACTATCATGTTCTCTCAATATTTTTCTTCATCCTGTCCATGTCCATGCTGAGACACTAGGTGGTATAATGATGTTCTGCATGTCCATGCTGAGACACTAGGTGGTATAATGATGTTCTACATGTCCATGCTGAGACACTAGGTGGTATAATGATGTTCTCCATGTCCATGCTGAGACACTAGGTGGTATAATGATGTTCTACATGTCCATGCTGAGACACTAGGTGGTATAATTATGTTCTCCATGTCCATGCTGAGACACTAGGTGGTATAATGATGTTCTACATGTCCATGCTGAGACACTAGGTGGTATAATGATGTTCTACATGTCCATGCTGAGACACTAGGTGGTATAATGATGTTCTACATGTCCATGCTGAGACACTAGGTGGTATAATGATGTTCTGCATGTCCATGCTGAGACACTAGGTGGTATAATGATGTTCTACATGTCCATGCTGAGACACTAGGTGGTATAATGATGTTCTGCATGTCCATGCTGAGACACTAGGTGGTATAATGATGTTCTGCATGTCCATGCTGAGACACTAGGTGGTATAATGATGTTCTACATGTCCATGCTGAGACACTAGATGGTGTAATGATGTTCTACATGTCCATGCTGAGACACTAGGTGGTATAATGATGTTCTCCATGTCCATGCTGAGACACTAGGTGGTATAATGATGTTCTACATGTCCATGCTGAGACACTAGGTGGTATAATGATGTTCTGCATGTCCATGCTGAGACACTAGGTGGTATAATTATGTTCTACATGTCCATGCTGAGACACTAGGTGGTATAATGATGTTCTACATGTCCATGCTGAGACACTAGGTGGTATAATGATGTTCTACATGTCCATGCTGAGACACTAGGTGGTATAATGATGTTCTCCATGTCCATGCTGAGACACTAGGTGGTATAATGATGTTCTGCATGTCCATGCTGAGACACTAGGTGGCATAATGATGTTCTACATGTCCATGTTGAGACACTAGGTGGTATAATGATGTTCTACATGTCCATGCTGAGACACTAGGTGGTATAATGATGTTCTGCATGTCCATGCTGAGACACTAGGTGGTATAATGATGTTCTACATGTCCATGCTGAGACACTAGGTGGTATAATGATGTTCTACATGTCCATGCTGAGACACTAGGTGGTATAATGATGTTCTGCATGTCCATGCTGAGACACTAGGTGGTATAATGATTATGGTGTAATGATGTTCTACATGTCCATGCTGAGACACTAGGTGGTATAATGATGTTCTCCATGTCCATGCTGAGACACTAGGTGGTATAATGATGTTCTGCATGTCCATGCTGAGACACTAGGTGGTATAATGATGTTCTGCATGTCTTCACACTGAAGGGGATATGTGTTGATTCCCTCCTCTAACACTATGTGAATGTCCATATGTGGATACAACGTTTTTTAGTAGGGGACAACAGTGAAAACCGCTACAAACAGGGAACAGTGTGATCTATCATGATCTGTTCCCAGACCAGGGCTATTTCTGTAGGCTTTATTTGGATGTCACAACACTCATTGATCCAGACGCAGTTTCATTTCCGACAGGGTCGTCGTGTGAAAATGAACAGGAGGTGCGATTTGCGGGAATGAAGATGGTGTTGATTGAGGTGATTTAGATGGCCTCATTTTAGCAGTGGGTGGGTGGGTGGGTGTGTTGGGGGGGGGGGGGGGGGGGGGGGGGGGGGGGGGGGGGGGGGGGGGGGGGGGGGGAGATGTGACATACATGTGTGTGTGTAGCAGATGTGACATACAGTTGAAGTCGGAAGTTTACATACACCTTAACCAAATACATTTAAACTCAGTTTTTCACAATTCCTGACATTTAATCCTAGTAAAGATGCCCTGGCTTAGGTCAGTTAGGATCACCACTTTATTTTAAGAATGCGAAATGTCAGAATAATAGTAGAGACAATTATTTATTTCAGCACATTCCCAGTGGGTCAGAAGTTTACATACATTAAATTAGTATTTGGTACCATTGCCTTTCAATTGTTTAACTTGGGTCAAACGTTTTGGGTAGCCTTCCACAAGCTTCCCACTATAAGTTGGGTGAATTTTGGCCCATTCCTCCTGACAGAGCTGGTGTTACTGAGTCAGGTTTGTAGGCCTCCTTGCTCGCGCCCGCTTTTTCAGTTCTGCCCACACATTTTCTATAGGATTGAGGTCAGGGCTTTGTGATGGCCACTCCAATACCTTGACTTTGTTGTCCTTAAGCCATTTTGCCACAACTTTGGAAGTATGCTTGGGGTCATTGTCCATTTGGAAGACCCATTTGCGACCAAGCTTTAACTTCCTGACTGATGTCTTGAGATGTTGCTTCAATATATCCACATAATTTTCCTTCCTCATGATTCCATCTATTTTGTGAAGTACACCAGTCCCTCCTGCAGCAAAGCACCCCCACAGCATGAGGGTTCCACCCCTGTGCTTCACGGTTGGGATGGTGTTCTTCGGCTTGCAAGCCCCCCCTTTTTCCTCCAAACATAACGATGGTCATTATGGCCAAACAGTTCTATTTTTGTTTCATCAGACCAGAGGACATTTCTCCAAAAAGTACGATCTTTGTCCCCATGTGCAGTTGCAAACCGTAGTCTGGCTTTTTTATGGCGGTTTTGTAACAGTGGCTTCTTCCTTGCTGAGCAGCCTTTCAGGTTATGTCGAAATAGGACTTGTATTACTGTGGATATAGATACTTTTGTAGCTGTTTCCTCCAGCATCTTCACAAGGTCCTTTGCTGTTGTTCTGGGATTGATTTGCACTTTTCGCACCAAAGTATGTTAATCTCTAGGAGACAGAACGCATCTCCTTCCTGAGCAGTATGACGGCTGCGTGGTCCCATGGTGTTTATACTTGCGTACTATTGTTTGTACAGATGAACGTAGTACCTTCAGGCATTTGGAAATTGCTCCCAAGGATGAACCAGACTTGTGGAGGTCTTGGCTGATTTCTTTTGATTTTCCCATGATGTCAAGCAAAGAGGCATTGAGTTTGAAGGTAGGCCTTGAAATACATCCACAGGTACACCTCCAATTGACTCAAATGATGTCAATTATTC